TCCGTCCGGCAGCAGGGGACAGCAGGAACTCCAGTTATTGCACTCGGGTGGGACGGCTGTATGGCTTTGAGCTTCGAACCCGCGGGACGGCCGTCCCGGCTCCCGGAGCGGGGCTGGAAAAGCTTTTCCTTGTGCGCGGCCGCTTTCCCCCTTCTCTCGCGGCGGGAGGGAGGAAGGCGCAGCTGCGTAGCCCTGGCGAGCGGAGGCACTCGTGGTGGTCATGGCTGTGGTCTCGGGCATTGCCCGCGGTGTCTCGGCTCCCTGCAGGGTGCTCCACGAGAAGCAGAGGGCTGCAGGCCGCTGGGGAGCTTGATACTGGATCAACCCGGCGTGAGGAAGAGGAGAGAGGAGGAAGAGAAAGAGAGGGTTAGTGCCAGAAACGCAGCAGTGAGGAGCAGCAGGGAGTGGAACGGAGCACCCGGGCTTGGTGGCAGAAAGAGGAGACAGTCAAGGATGGAGGAGAGTGCCGGCAGACGCCCTCCCTCCATGCTCCTGCCGAGGCTGGAGCAGGCAGGAGCTCAGGGGGTGCTGCAGGGAGGGCGAGGACATGGGGGTGTAGGAGGGAGAGGGGCAGCTCCGCAGCCCACAAGTGAAGCAGGGCTTTGTTGCAACGTGCTTTGGAAGGAACTTATCGCGGTCATGGGCACGGCAGAGGAGGAACCTGGTGTTAAGAGACAGAGAAACAGGCAGAGAGAGGGAGGGGAGGGATGGTCTGAGTGGGTCAGAGCTGGGATTAGAAACCTGTTCCAGGTTTCAACTCCTCTGTTCGGGCCACACCTCCAAACACTAAATCTCTGCATCAGCTGGGGGCTTCCTCCATGCCCATCACAGCAGCTCCACTGAGTGCAAACCACGGCAGGGCGCCCTCCGGCACAGCCCGGGGTCACCAACCCTCAGCCACATCGTGTTCCAGGCACCACCACGCAGACCAGGCGGCTCCGTCTCGTACCGAGCCCCGGCACAAAGCTGGGGGAAAATCCTCCCTCTCTCCTTGCCGAGGCACCCCCCTGCCACGAGCCCCCGCGCTGCTGGGATGGATGGGGCACACGGACGTCTATGCAACCGGAGGGGCACAGCCCGGCGTCACCAACCCTCAGCCACATCGTGTTCCAGGCACCACCACGCAGACCAGGCGGCTCCGTCTCGTACCGAGCCCCGGCACAAAGCTGGGGGAAAATCCTCCCTCTCTCCTTGCCGAGGCACCCCCCTGCCACGAGCCCCCGCGCTGCTGGGATGGATGGGGCACACGGACGTCTATGCAACCGGAGGGTGATGGGCTCCATGGACAGAGGTGGTCATGCGGTGGAGATGAGATGAGGCACTCGAGTGGATGACGGGGAGAAGAAAGCGCTTTCTTACCAGCTAACCCTCAGAAAGCAGGGCTAACGTCCACGGAGGGGCGAATCCCGTCAGGCTGTGCAGGAAATGGCAAAGTCCTGGCAGGCATCCTCCTGGGAAGACACCAGAGATTATGCACCTCAATACCTGCTGGTAGGGCCGGAGAGGGCTGGGTTAGAGACGGGGACCAGAGAACCGGGTACAGCCCTGGCCCGAGCGAGGCGAGTGGGGAAAGGATGCTGGAGGTGACGGCTTCTGCAAGAAGGGGACTGGCGAGTGGATGAGACCCTGCCCAGCCTGGAGATGTGGGACAGGAAAATCCCTTCGCTCCAGCAAGAGGTTCTAAGAGCTTCCAGGCAAGGCTTGGGCTTAGCAGAGAGTCCAGCTGCCACCTGACAGATGTTAAACACTGAGACACCTGCCCTCTTCTCTCTTAAAGGAATAAAATAATAACCCAAGCAATTAACTCTTTAAAAATATAATTTTATTAGGTTGAGTAACAAAGGAAACCGGTTTAAAGAAAAACAGGAAGGAGTTTGGCCCCTGGTAACACCCCTCGCACCGCTCCTCTCTCCCCAGCACCAGACCCTCTCTGCACAGCTCGGCTCCCCCCAGCCCCACGCCTGCCCCTCGACGGCAGCGCTGTGGCCCCTCGACAGCAGGGACGAGCCCCCTGGGGACACCCCTGCAGGAGTAGCGGGGAGGGAAGGGCAGGGTGGCCTCTGTGGATGCAACACGGGCAACGTGCTAAAGCACCTGGTCTGTGGGACGGCACGAAGCTGCGGGGCTGGGGCAGTTGGCAGAGCAACACCCGGAGCCTCCCCGGGCAGCGTGGGTCAGCTGCCTCTGCCAGAGGTTGAAATCCGTACGTCTGACCCACAGAAACCTCACCAGGCGGCTCAACACAAAACCTCCGCCCCGGTGCTAACATGCACAACGCTACCTGCACCGAATAGAAAACATTCTACATGGAAGAAAACAAAAAATAAATCTACAAATTGTGCAAAAATATCCAGCAGCTTTTAATAACACGATTCAAGTATTGCTAACAAGGTCTGTGACTCCCCTCTACGCACGCTCCAGTGTCAGTAACGCAGAGCTGGCCGCCCAGCCTGGCTCTCCCGTGCTTCCGCAGGCACGGAGCGATGCTCCGGGATGCGCCCAGGCACACGGGAATCACTCCCGAAGTGCCAGGGACAGCCCTGCTTGTCTGCTGGCCAGAAACCCAAACCTAGAGCATAACGTGAGGTTATCAGAGACCAGCACCTGCTCACTGCTTCCGCTGTGAAACTCCACCTGGGAAGGGCGAGACCCTCAGGATTTCACCCACTTTTCTGTTGCCTTTCAGTCTCCTACAGACAGGACACAACCAGACTTCCCTGGCAAGCTAAGGTTCCCAGATCTCACAGCTGTAGCCTTGCCAACCAGCATCTCGTAACGAGAGCCACAGAATGCTGCGTGTTCCTTCCTCCCCGTTAAAAGGAGGGTCATCCTGACTTGTGTCCTTACTGCAAAATGTTGTCTTACTGACCAGCACGGCCAAAACACAGAGTTCTTCAGCACCCCCTCAATGACCAGCCAGAAAACAGCATCACCAGCAGCTGGGACATCCAGCTAGCTTCCACATCTGCTGGGAGTCAGAGTCTTCCCAGCTGAACAACCCCAACTTACCAAGGCACAGCAGCTTCTGGAAAAGAAAAGCTGCTCTGGCAGCAGCCGAGGTGAGATCCTGGCCTCTAAGAGGCAGAACAGCACCTCCAGGTTGGCACAGAGGAACAGGGGGTGCTCATGGAGATAACAGGGATATCACGGAACTTACACCTCCACCAGCCCAGAAGACGAGGCGTGACAGCCCAGCTCAGAGAGGGAACCGTCTGCCAGTCCCCACCCCCCACCCTTGGCCCACCTCATCACTCCCAGCAGGAAACACAGCGATTCCCTGGAGCAGATGCTCCGGACTCAGAGGTCTGGTGGCTCCCCAGACCTATTTCGCTTCCCAGGTGCAGCAGGAACCCCCTGCTTTCTGCACAAGTCTGAGGGTCTTGCATGCTGTCGGGCTCTATCAGTCAAAAGTCCAGACAGGCACATCACAGTGAAACAAATAAACAAAAAATAATAAATAAGGTTAAAAAAAAAAAAAAAAGG